GATAATATAGAAACCCAGAGGTTGATCATCACCCTTTGCAATCCTAAATTATTAACAATAAGCTGATTCCCTATAAAATTTAGTTCACGAAAAGTAGTGACACTCTTTATTTACATTTATCAATCATATAATGTTCTTATCAGGGAGCCAAATTGGACATACCAAGACAAAAAATACAGCAAAGAAACGCAAAGCAAGTTTTGGGGACGAGTTTGAGAGTAATAGAAAAAGGCAAAAGGTTATCATGGCGTGGAACACGGGGAACCATAAAACAGAGAGACGAAATGCAGTAAAGAAAGTAAACTGTCAAGTTTATATGCCAAAGGTTGTCCGCGGATGTTGTTGTAATGAAACTCTCATCGAGAGTTGTAAGACAGATGATCCTCAAAACAGTAGCCCAAGAATCAGCCAAAACGAACACAGAGTCAAAAATGGGCAACACAGATGTATTTCCCGCATACAGTCGAGGATGATGTCAGAGAGTACAAATTTTCAGTTAGCTGGCTGTTCGGAGAATCATGAACATCGGGGAAACGCATTCTTTCAGTTTGACCGTAGTCCCCCAAGTGCACTGGGAATACCCAAACAACGCTCGAGGAAAGGAATACCGTGCAAGCGCCTTCGAGAGAATACCGTAAAACGTGCGAAGGAAAGAAGTAAGTTAGCAGTAAATAGGGAAGACTGTGGAATGGATGACTTACCATGGAAGAGATTATCAAAAGAGGAACCTCATGCCTTCCCAATTCAAACTGAAGAATTTGAATTCAGAGAAAGAGGTATGGTTTACGCTTATAAATAAGATAAAAAAAAGCAACTGTCGTACAAAAGAGCCCTTTAAAATTAACTTATGTCAGGGAGGGGAGAGTAACAAAGCCGGATTACCTATCAAGAGAAGGAAAAAACATTTTGTTAGAGTGATGTGAGACTCGTCAGTAATTGGCAGTGCATGGGAAACGGTTAACTTAGAATTAGTAAAAAGGCCATGTTTTCTTCTTAGGTGACCTCGATGAACTGCCAATGAGTCTGAAAAACCATGATATATTGGGGAGGAATGTGCCGGAAATTGGAGACACGATCCCTGTTGAAGATAACAATCTTAAAAGCAAGAACGCAAAGACCTTTAGTTCTAGACGCTCGATACTCACTAGTGGGACAAGTCATCACCAGTCGTATGAAGATCATGGATACTTCTTGTATAGTAGCGGCGAAGCCATGGTGGAGCCCGGAATGGCACGGCAGAGCGGCAAAGAAATTTCATTGCACTCACCCGTGCACAAAATATTGGATTCTGGTGAGATGTCGAGGCGCCCAAGTCACTTTAGATCGGTAAGTTAGAACTATGTGGGAGTCGAAATCTCATACGCGCTGCATCATGAGAAGCGGATCAGAAAGACGTGCTAGCCAGTGTGCTCGCAAGATGCGTCATGCTCTTTGCTGGCGTCTCTCGTGCTTGTGTCAGCATCGTCCGTACGACAGCACCCATAAAGGTCTGCTCGAAGGCTAATTTTTGGTTTGTTGGCTCATATTCGCAAAAAAACTTCAACAGATAATCATAAAGATAACTAGTTTCTCGGAATCAAACTGAGTTCATTGTTGGTTTGGCATAAACTTATTCAGAGAGAAGAGTGTTACGTTTGTGGTAGAAAGAGATGACAATAGGTTAACTGAATATTTTTCATTTTAAATGACCTAGTTTTCCACGGGAAATGAAAAGCAACGATTTATCCCTGGGATAAATTATCACCCCTACGTGACGGTTTCTAACGTGCTGCCGAACCTGCCATCATTCCGTCGGAGACATTTTGAAAATGCTTGCAATGATATATTCCCTGTGCAGTTGAACCACCCTGTCAGCGGACTTCCCTTAACCAGTGACAGAATAAACACGGATCCAAGGTTTCTGAAAGGGAAAGTGGAGGTGAGAATCTTCAAGCAAGGTAAACAATCTCCTTCTCTAGCTTGTTTAGGTGCAGGACCAGTCACCTACCGTTTGATACCTTCTTCTTAAGATGATCAAATTTAAACTCGTCAGACTTGGTGGTGGTGTTGCAAAATTGTTAAAGTATTCGGTGTGGAGAGGATACGCCAGCTATTGAGGACATTATTAACATTATGACCTCCTCGTTAGAATAATACCCAAGCGCTGAATATTAATAACCTTTGATCCATAAATTTTGCCGCTTTATGCTAAATGAGCCGGGATAAGCTCTGATACTTTAGAGCAATTTTGAAGAACATGTTTAGCCCATAGTCGTGACACAAATATTTTACCTAATTCACTCTTTAATCAAGACTTTTCCTACTAATGGAAACATTTCCATCTCAAAAGGAACCGGCTTCTTCGAACCCTCAGTACGCTCCATGTCAAGAAGATGGCAGTGAAGACATGGCTCAGACGGAGCAAACGATTCAGCAAGTAAAATTTGGAGCTTCTAAAATTAAAATGGCAAAGGAAGTACAATTTACTATTCTGATATATGAATGATTTAGTTAATTTGGTTTTATCAGCTGTTTCGATACCGTAAAGAGTTCGTTAAGCCGAAGCTTCGAGCGTTAGCACTTCGTCAGAGCAAATGAGAAGTTGTGTGTTGTATGTGGTATGTGGTATATATATATGTGCAGAAAAATGGGGATATGCTATTGGTAGGAACATGATAACGTGAAAAACACAAGAAAAAATTAGTTGAATGAAAAGCGTTCGCTTTTATAACGTGGGGGTTAAGAAAGATTGATGTAGTACAGCAGGAATGAAGACTTCTTACGGGGGGGAAGGGGGAAAATTAAGTTACTAAATCAATACTGATTATAATGAAAAAAGTGACGATGAAATCAGTTATGATGATAGTAGGGGTTTTGATTCTTCCACGAGCAAAGATTTTTCCAATTTTGGTCAATTTTGTAAAGTGCGCGATGTGAACAAAATATGGAAATAGCATGAAAATCGAGCCCCAACATGAGCGGTTGCCAGCAAAATTCCCTCAGGGGATTCGCCCAGGTTTGAGATTATGACACCTTCCTGATTTACTAACTTTTATTTAAAGATACGTTTTTCTAAATCACTCAGGTGCTTTAAAAGATTTCAGAAAAATTTTTTTCTATGGGAACGATAGGATAAATGTTTGAATTCAGCCTAAAGAAAAGAAAAATCGATTTTTTCGGTCCCTTAACAGGTACACTGGGTGGCTCTTTGTTAAATTTTCCCTTAAGAGCTGCAAATTATGTGAGGCTACTATCAGTTGCAGCAATAAACGTCTACAGAGATTTACAGATGTGTTTTAATTCAGTTTTGTTTCACCATTTTAACGGTATAAAATAATAATAATAATAATAATACTAATAACGATACTATCCCTACTACTACTACTACCATTACTAACAATAATTACGAAAATTATAATTTTGCTTTATTTGGCAAAAACAAAAGAGAATTCAAAACGAACAAAATTAGCATATATAAATAATAAAAATGTCCAACCCATATCGATAACTGCAAAGTTTTGCAATGGATACAAAACTAACCTGCCGAACCATTTATTCTTAACGTTTGTAATTTAATAACAGAGCAACAAACTCAATCAAAACAATATTTTTTTTGTTGTCTTGAAATAGGAAACCCTCTCTAATACTCTTCCACGGGAAAATGTCCATTCTTCAAGTCCTTCCTCATCAAACCGTGAAGAGGAGGAAAACAAAAGCATCTCGAGGCACGAAGTTTCAGACCACCGAAAGAAGTCATTTGGAAAGGGAATAAAACTACGATTTCTTTGTGATCAATAACAAGTACCAATGTAAACAAGCATAATACACAGTGCAACGAAAGAAATAATCGATGAGTTATTTATTAACTCTATAGGGTTGGATAATGGCTGTAAATATATGAAAATCATAAATGTGCACTGCGATTGAAGAAACGAATGTAGAAGCGAATATAGAACCATGTTGCAAAATGTTGCAAGATATTGGATCAAGTTTGAAAATGGTTAATTATTTTGTTATTGCAACATTTTTTGATGTTGCAAGATGCTGCACTTGTTTGGCCACGTCCTTCACATCTCACAACCCGATCCAACAGTGTTGGGTTAAACTATTCCAGGCGCTTGGCCGGGCCTTTACTCTATCAGCGTCGTTAAAGTTATCTTTTGAATTCCTGTCATAGGTTGGGGCAGCCAGTAGCAGTGTATCGACCTCTTCACGTGACAA